GCAGGCCTGGGGGGGGGGGGTTATTTGCTGTTTCATTTGTGCACAAAATCCACTCTAGTTGCTTTTCAGCCCCCGAGTCACACTCCTTGTGGTGCCCCATATCCACAGGCCTACGCAGGTGTCCCCAAGAGGAGGACGGGTCCCCACTGTCCCATGGCCCCAGGAACAAGCAGCCCTGGGAGCCCTGGACCATTCTTCCCTTCAGCTCTTCCTTCCTTTGTTCATTCACACAATAGATATTTCTTTTAAAAAAAACTTTAAATGTTTATTTTTTAATAAAAATTGGAGATATTTAAGGTGTACAACATGATGTTTATATGTATGTACATGGTGAAGTGATTACTATAGTCAAGCCAATGAACATATCCACGTCCTCATATTGTTGTCTTTTTTTGAGATGCTGGTCAGAGAGAACAAAGTTTCAGTTACGCAGGACCAATAAGCACAGAGATCTAAGGTACAGCATGATGTCTATTAGTTAATAATAATACACTGAGTACTAGAGATTTGCTGAGAGAGTAAATTTCAGGTGCTCTCGCTACAATAGATATACTTTGTGTCTCTACCATGAGCCAGGCTCCATGGTGGGCACTAGTCACACCAGTCAATGAGACTGACATGTCCCTGCTCTCGTGAAGCCCAAAAAACTAAACAAATAACTATATAATTCTTCTATACTAACTAATCACCCTGTCATTACAAAGTGTGATAGGCGGCGCTATGAAGCAGAAATGCAGAAATGCAAGGTACTGTGGGAGAGAATAACTCGGGCCACTGGATTGAGATTGGGGTGATCAGGGAAGGCCTCTCAGAGGAGGTGACATTTTGGCTGGAATCTGAAGGATGAAGAGGAGATTGATGGCTTAAGAATGGGAAGAAAGTGTGTGTGTAAAGGCCTTGAAGAGCTCAGTTTTTGTTTTGTTTTGTAACTGAATCAGTGAGTAACTGGAGAGAGAGGTGGGATGACGGGAGGAGGAGGGGAGTGAGGAGAGGCGACATTATGGGGAGCTGGGTGGGAAAGGAAGTGAGATGGGAAGGGAGTGGGGCTTGGTGAGTGGGTACCCCACAAACATGACTGTGCAAGTCATGTGGCCAAGGCAGCAGCTCAGCTCCAGGGTGCCCCTGCAGGTGGAGATTGCCCAAGGACCACCTCCAGGGGCAGACACCTCTGTCTTGCTGCCCCTGTCCCCCCAAGGCAGGAGCAGGAACCACACTGGCTGCACTGACCAGCTCCAGGTCAAGCAGCCTGCTCCGTGGGCCAGAGAGGGGCAGGTTGCGAAGAAAACGCAAGCTTGTCAGCGGTGATTTCTCCAGGCCAAGGCAGCCACCATCAGCTTCCTGCCAAGATGGGCCTGTTCAGCCTCACTCGCTACAGCTGGAGACGGAGGGGAGCAGATGGCCCTGCTTGGCCCAGGTTCCTGCCAGATTGCCAGGGAGGTGTGGGCAGAGTGATGGGGTTGGTGCCAGGAGCAGGAATGCACAGGGGGAGGGCGGGAGCCACCTCTTCGCTGTCGTCGCCATGGGTTCTTGCCTATATGGGGTGGAGGGTGGAGACATCGGCTGTGGCCTCACTGTGCTCCTTGAATCAGCAACTACTCACAGTCCCCTGGAGAGAGATGGCCTCTGTCTTACAAGCACATTGAGAGCTCTTGAGAAATGCAAGATGTCCGTGGTTATATTCCCAGTTCCCAGCACAGGGCGGGACCAGGCAGGAGCTCAGCGGTTGTGTTTTATGTTTGTTTCTAAAAGAAATGATAGTAGTAGCTCTCAGGTGTTGTCTTTGTTAATCCTCATAGCAGCCGAACAGAGGCGCTGTTGTGACCCCATTTTACAGATGGGGTCACTAAGGCACGGAGAGGAGGAATAACTCGCCTGAAGCCACAGCTGAACAAATGCGTGAGAACAGATGGGTCACTCCGACAAGCTGATGGCCACGCCTGGGGGTTGG